TTGTATGGGCCCAACCGCACTCAGAAGCAGGGTGAATATCGGTCGAGGAAATCCTCGACAGGGGGGTCGTACCTGTTGGGCTGGTCCATGGGGGGGGTCGTACTCTGGGGTCAGTAACAGAAGTGGTATCATGGTGCAGATAGGTAATAGGGTATAGCGCAGCAGAAAATGAAAACATCCGAAAAAAACATGATATTAAATTTTCTTTGCAGGTTCAGTCGCTCCATTCCTCCACCTTCATGAGAAGGGCGTATTTGAAGGCAGTACAAAGAATGAAAGTGCATCCCCGCAAAGAAGAGTGCCACATGTGCGCACGCGCTGCAAAGGCACCTCCTCCGCCTATCACTCGCTCCTTCTCCCTTAATATACCCTTTTCTGCTGAGATGCTTGTCTTGTTAGTTATGGGACTTTTTTTTTTTCGTCTATTTTTACTGTTCCGTAAAAAACGACCATACCTGTTTTGAATGCAAAATGCGTGGCACACCGAACCTGGCTAAATAATGAATTGTTTTTTAGACTACAGGAGTAGCATAACAAACACATCTCTGAATGTCTTTACTCATATAAATCAAGTTTTCGTTTTCGAACAGTCCGCGGCATCCATATTATTAACACCTTTCAATGGATTCTGCAACTGTGAGTGGAGGAGGGATGCATGGCTTATACCAATACCAAATCGGATGATGACGATTGCTCCTATTCTTATTGTTTGCGTTCAAAGATATTGTTCTAGACACATTCCGAGTGTTGCCAACGAGTCACACTTGCAATGGTGAATGAGGGAGCGGATTTCCAGGTGGCCGGATCCGACCTCGATAGATCCTCGACGCAATTATCTCTTCAACCAAAAAGCTGTAGAAGAAAACTAAACAGACCATCAGGAAGCGCAAACCTTCCGCTTTCCAAAACTATCTTCCCTTTTTCAGGATCTTACAATATAAGAGATATATTGCTCTTGAAGTGGCAAAAACTCGCGTGAAAATTTGGATCCTCTCGACATTTACTCGACGAAATTTGACAGACCCTATCTTTCTGCAAGGAAGGCTTCCAGAGCAATTTCGTATGTTCTTGTTTGGAACACGTATCGAAATCCAGTTCTTCATATCTACACTCTAGCCGATTCAAAGCTGCTTCAAACGGCTTGTGAAATAGAGAGGAATGTCAACTTTTTTCAATCGAGGGTGTAGATCTTCGGGTTGACGATTGATTTTTTTTGAAATTTCGGCAAATCTGACCCAGTGACAATCGCGCCGCAGCTGCCGTTGAATCGGCCTTTGATACACTCGGCTGTTTTGATATACTCAAGCAAGAATCAAGATTGAATCGCAACCCCGTGTCTTCAGGATTTCTGTGCGTTTCTGAACGAACCTCGCCTTGAGGTCACACAAAGTTAATGCCTCTTTCCTCGAGTCGATATTTCAGTATGTACACAAAAGTATGCAGCGATGGAAGACGTGCATAGATGACAAGATGAAGCGTCCTTAGCATTATTTTGCAGAATTTTTTTGATTTGTTTTGCAGGATTTATTTTAATTGAATTAATTTGCTCTGTTAGAGGGGGTCGTGCCAGGATCTCGATTTCGGGGGGGGGGGGTCGTACCTCTGCGACCACGTACTCGACACGATTTTCACCCTGCTTCTAGCAATGCCGCTCCGTAGCAACAACTAATCACCTATAAAAATTGGGCTGACGCACGTTGGATTTTACCTGGGATTTGATCCAGGAACCATGAACGTGGCAATAGCCCCTCCTGTCTCCACACCATCTTCCGCTCGGATGAGCATTTTTGAAATATAAGCAGGCAATTTATTTTCCTTATTTTTTTCAACCGTGGAACAAGCCAACGTTCAGTGGGACAGCACTTGGGAACAATTCAAGCCGCACTCTGTGCTAGCAACACTGCACCACCGCCAGCAGGCTGCGCTCACCAGCTGCTTCTGCTCTGCTCTAACAAGTTTTCGTTGGCGTTCACTGCACAAAAAATGTGTCATTACAGGAATATCCTACTACCACTCCTACACCATTCGGACTAGCAGAACCCCGGAGATAGGAGTCGTCCTCTGACTGGTTTTCTGCCAATGAAATGCCCCATCTGACATCGTTCGTTTACTTATGCTGCACCTGATACAAAAATTAAGGCAATTAGAGTCATCAACAGAACTCTCAAAACTATGAGACTCAAAATTACTTTCTCGAAGGTTGCGCACTCTATCCAGCGACTAGCGGTGCGACTTCCTCATTACCTCGTCCCAGTAACTCGCTCAAAGTTGTGACGATTTGTTGTCGAAAGAATTATAGAGCTCCCACTTGTGCACAAATCTGCCATCAACGAGGCTCTTCTGTCTCAAGTGCCGAAACTGTGCTAGTGACTTTGACTGCGGAAGTGGTAAACTTGTGTGCCACCATTAGTTGAAGGGGTAAAGACACAACCCAGGATAAAGTTAGTGTATATTAGTGTACTTCAGCTCCGTACGCTACTGCGCGCATGACATCGTAGACGTCGGTGAAGCTGGACAGTCGGTGGGGCGTTAGGTTCCACCGGTGCGAAATAAATAGAATTGTGAAATGCGTTAGCTAGCTGTCCGCTTGATACGCGGGGTAGAGCACGGAGCTAGAGTGGTGTCTGTGACCAAAACCACCGTGCATCGAATGTCAGAATAATTTGGCGGTTAAACAATCTTTGATGCTTAGGCCGCGTTCATAGTTCGCGACTCGGGAGATTAGGATAGTAGGCGACAGGATATTAGGATAGTAGTAGAGTAGGAGATTGCGCTGACAAGATTGGATACGTATCGATTGAAATCGCTGGAGAGTAGTAGATTGGGCGACTTCAAGCGAATAGATCAATACATATCTAATCTTGTCAGCGCACTATCCTACTCTACTACTATCCTAATCTACTACTATCCTAATGTCCCCGTCAAAGCAAATCTTCTTCATTGTCGCGCACTATCACACTCTCCGGAGTGGCAAACTACTAACGCAGCCTAATGATGTTGAAATGGAAATACCCGCGATAAGTTATCATGTTTCTTCAAACATCCACCGTACACTTCTTGAGAGCTCTGAGGAGTGTAGCGGCCAAGTGGTAATTTGTGCTGAGGATGAAAACGCATAAGATGTGATATTAAAATGAATTGCATTATAAAGTCTGCTTTTGGGTTACCTCCATGTTCTTACGCATATCGTTCCGTCCGTTCCGTATCAGCCCTTATCAGTTTCTGATTCCCACCAATTATGTTTCCGTCCCACCCTCTACATCACTTATCAAAACCAACGCCCTACTGTTGCTGGGATGCGCGTCATGCATTTCATGGAATTTCCCTTTCGGCGCCTCTTTTCGGTCCTTATCAGCCGCTATCACTTTCTGACCTCCATCAAATATGTTCCCGTCGGCATATACTTAGCGAATTATATGTAGTAGGATGAAGGCTTCCAATGGTGAAGGGAGAAGTAACGCAAAGAAACGAGAATCCACTGAACGACAGTTGACAAGTACACGGCTGCTACAGGCAGGAAGGACAAGGTTGGTGGATAAAGGAGTTTAACAGTGAAGCTAGAAGTGTCTAGTGGACTTACCTACATGGCAGGGAATAGGACTACTACTCATGACCCATCAATCGGCAGCACTGGCAAGGCTCCAGCGCTCTTACTGTCTATAGTCAAGCCGTATGATCAGCGTATGGAACCTTCGCCAACGGCTCTACCCTGCCCACATTGTAAATCTCTCTCCATGTGCCCTGCCTTTTCTATGAGCGTGAGAAAAAATAGAGGAAGCGGGTCGTTGTCAAAAAGAAGAGATCCAACAGAGAAGCTATATGCTACAATATGAGGCACTCTACAGTGCGCAAAATGTTGACATCGCTCGATGATGTGCCGCGGTGCTAAGCCGTGGATGGTGTTCACCTTTGCAATTACCGAACGTAGAGAAACAGAGAGAGACCTATCGCTATCAACGAGGAAAAGTCCTCGCGAAACCAATCAAATAAGATACATAGACATAAGGTTGCCGGGATATGAGTCAAATGAAGTCGCTAAAATCGTGGTGCTTGGACATACCCGTCCACACTGCACAATTTTGCCCTCGTTCACGCTCTCTTCCTTGAATGGCAACCTGCCCGCTGCAGCAATACACCCTCTCCCGGTCGCAGCAACCTGTAGGAATACCAAGAGGAGGGAGAGAGAGACGCAGAAAGAGTGGTTCGAACGACTTGGGGTAAGTACCGCACATTTAGCGGTAGAGTGTAGCTCTGTCTAATTCTTGGAAAGACGATGTTTCAAATACTCCTGTCGGACCTTCATGCAAAGGTTTGAGGGGGTGGGAGGGTGGCAGGGCTGTCTACGACGTGGCGCTGCTGCTGTGCATCCTCACAGCGAAAAAGATAACATTAGTGCTAACCGAGTAATCTGTGAGCAGAAAACAATAGATAAGTCATGGGGAAGACGGCTGTACGTGGGTGGGGAAAGCTAACCAGGGAGGTCTTCCAGGAAATGCCAAGCTTTTTCAAAACGGTTTTTTGCATGATATAGGGACACATGCATGGAACACCAAACTGTAGTTCATTTTTCCTGAGCGGCCCTCTGAATACCAAAAAAGGAGCGAAGAAAAAATTCTTAAGAAACTGCCGTTCTAACCGCTTTTTTGTGACGTACATCGCACACAGCGTTGACCAGTGTCATATCAAAAGGTTCTCATGAATGGTACATTGAGAAACAGTGCGGAATTCGGTCAAAAATAAAACGATCTCCTTAGCATGTATTGAAACTATTGTGGAATATTCATCAGCGCCTTCTGAAGCTAGGCTGTCAGCGGTGGCGGTAGTCGGGTGGCCTAGTGGTTAGTGGTGCGGTCTGTGAATCGGAAGTGGAAGGGGCGTTGTTGATGGTTCGACTCCCCACAGTGCCAAAGTTTTGCTTTTTTTCTATTGTCATTTTCCTGTGATCGTGCACTCCTGCGCATGCATATAATGCGGATTTATGTTCGTTTTGAGATCCTACGACTGCAAATTCGTATTGGTCTCTCACGAACTTGTGTGTGCATCGATAGAAATTTTATAATTCATAAACAAATTGCCCCCGGAAGGCTTGGAGAAGGGCTAACGTGGAATAGGAGGGGTCCGTCCTAGTGATTACCACGGAAACCGAGGTTCTCCCTCGCAGGGCAAGTCTCACACAACTTTGCGTTTTTTGCAGCTGATCTAGCCATCGGCAGTAGACCCAGCCAGAATTATGACCAGAAGTCCATCCTGCCAGTGTTTGACAAGGAGGAGAACTAATGACATAGTCATTGCTGTCTTCTCACCCATCGCTTGAGTGTCTACCATTGTCTATTACGGGGAAGGATCTCTCATTCCGTAAGAAATGACAAGAAGGTCGCCTCCAAATTGTTTACCAAAGAGCCTGACGGGCTACTGACCCATGGTCCAACTGTTCGAAGTTAGGACGAAATCTTAATTTTCCCTGAAACTTTCGGGCTAGGGGTTATTCGGCGTCCTGATTACGAATATTCTATTAGTTTTTGCGTAAACGTCATTTGAATTCGCTATGACGCCATTGGGCGCTACAACGGCGCCGTTTTGGTGTCGCAACTTTCTCCACCAGTTTTTTAGTCAAAATCTACGTATGAAGGTTGGTGTTGCTCCTAATTATAGATATGGCATCTGCTATTCACGTTGACTCCCTTTTTCGTGAGTTTTGGAACGCCAACAGAAAATGCAAAAAATTGTCACTGCGAGGATTCGAACCACGGACCACTTCATAACCCCTTTTTTGGTATTCAGAGGGCCGCTCAGGAAAAATGAACTACAGTTCTGTGTTCCATGCATGTACCCCTATATCATGCAAAAAACCGTTTTGAGAAAGCTTGGCATTTCCTGAAAGACCTTCCTCGTAAGAGGAGTACGTTCGACATACATACTAGAAGGTTGGACCGTAGCAGTTGACACCACCTTGTTGGAAAATCGAGACGCCAACTCGTTATACCTGCAGCTGCCAGAAATTCAAAAAACTCATGCTATGGCTGCTCGAGGTTTTTGATGTCATCGTAACCACCCTCCCCTTCAAAAAGCGAGAAAGTGTCGGGTGCAGACCATGCACCACAAGTGACGACGGCCTCCACAAAATGTTAATGTTTTCTGCCAATGAAATGATTAGCCTGTTGCAGTTGTATTCTATCATTGTCACTAATTACAACTATCATTTACCAGAAATCAGCTATCACTATGAACAACTTCTAACCAGATTTACTTGGAGGCCGTCGTCAGTTGTGGTGTTTGGTCTGCACCCGACACTTTCTCGCTTTTTGAAGGAGAGATTACGTTTGGTACTAGGTCTTCAACTACGACAGGTTCTGCTGTGAGAATATGGCAGCGCATACTAGTCATAAGATCAGTGTTGACGACAGCATTGTCCTCATGAGTTTAGGCGAACGCTAGCTCAGAAAGCGTTCATAATCGCCGATACACGCGCCTGATTGAATTAAGTGACTAAATCACGCTCCGCTCATGTGAAACGCTAAATGTAAGTCATTACCGAATGATTACTTCAATCGGGCAACGGTGTTAACTATAATCCTAGATGGTTGTGCAACACGTGTAGCGTGCGGCGCCCCTGGCAAGTAGCCAGCCAATCGGCCACAATCCGGTGAGTTCTATGCGTAGGGTTGCTTATGAGCCCCTCTCGATTTATAGATGCGGCCATCAGCAACTGCTTCTCATCCAACTCCCACTCAGCGACAGCAAGCGACAATGCGCGACAGTAAGTGACATCCGGCCCTGTGGATTCTTTGATCAACTACTGCTCCCTGGTGAACACCTAGCCTCTGTGACAGTCCACGAAGGTGCATGAATTCATGGCGACTCAATTGCTCGATTCAATCGCGCGATTTAATCAAGTCGAGCGACCGAGTGCCCGAGTATGAACACGGTCTCGGCTCAAATGCAACAAAAAATCTTGAATTTGAACACCAAAACACCGACATATGACTTTATCGGTAATTTGAAAACTTCAGAAATCTTTCATTCGCATTCGCTTATGTGGCAGAAATTGGTATTGTCACGTTCCCACTTGGCGTCACGGACGCAAATGCAGCGGCTGCATCAGTAGCGTCCGCAGGCGCTGGCGCAAACTGAACTACCATTTTGTCTTCTTTCGGTGGCCCTGCCTGAAATTTTTACTATAAGTAACGACAGGATCGAGTTAACCCCGTGGAAAAACGCTGCCTACCAGTCGCGTTATTTCAAGTGGTGCCGATCCTCCAGCATCGACAAATCCAAACACCGGCTTCACACGATACTCTGTGTTGTTGGAACTCTTCACTTTAAAAATCATCTTCTCAGTACCAGAGTTGACGAGGTTGTGTGTTAATGTTCCACCAGAAGCCGCAACGGTAGCCGAAGGTGGATCAGCGGTGAGCGACATTTGCAATCAGGAGAAAATGAAAAACCGAGCTCCGTCCGTTGATATTTATAGGCCCCTTTATCAGCTGCTATCACCATCTAAACAAACCCACAGTCAATAACTTCCACCGTGTATATATAAGAAGCATTCAGATGACATCAATAAAAAAGAAAGCGTGCGTTCGCGCCAAGCCAACCGTGACATCTCTTGTAAAGTAAGTTTTCCGCTCTGATAAGTACACTACGGCAGTAGAGTTCAAACTCGCACTCAGTCCACTAAAACTCAGCGACCGATTCAGCCCATTCCTGAGATCGCAAAAGAAAAGCAGATACTTCATTATTTGACAGCATACAGTCACAGTTCCCAGCAATTCAGGAAGATTTGCATCAGACTTGCACGAATCTATCCCAAAGCTACTCTCGAATAGTGTGATGTAAACAATTTTGCTGACCCTATCAAAATTGAAGTCTGCGGCTTTGCATAGCCTTACCATTGAAAGCGCACCCCATAATGTAGAAACGTGTGAGCAGGGTGAAAATCGTGGTCACATCAGTACGACCCCCCCCTCAGATCGGGGTCTTGATACGACCCCTCTAACTTTGATTTGATGTGAATAAGCGAGTTCCATCAATGTACAGCAAAGCATTCAGTTGCAGCGCGGTTTATCCGTGGGTCAGATTTGCCGAAACCCCGCTCGAAACCGTCGAAATCTACACTCTCGATGAAAAGGTTCCATTCCCCCATTTCATAACCTTTGGAGCAGTATGTGGTAGGGTTAGATAGAGCTGGATTTGCTACTACCGGGCAATATTGAAATTGATCTAAAAGCTTTACACTCGAAGAGATAGGGTCTCTCAAATTTTGTCGAGGCAGCGTCGAGGATGCTGAATTTTTCATGCGAGTTTTTGCCACTTAAAAGGCAATATCTCTCTAATTTCGTAAGATCTTGAAAAAAGGGAAGACAGTTTTGGAAAGCGGAAGGTTTGCGCTTCCTAACAGCCTGTTTAGTTTTCTTCTACATTTTCTAGTTGAGGAGATATTTGCGTCAAGAAAAGGGGCAATAGCTATCGTCCGACCTCGTCTCAGTATAGTCCATATTGCCTAAGGAACAGCTTCATATGTCCAGAGTCTTTCCGAAACTATTGTCGTTTTTGCGACAGCGTCCCTAACAACAGTGTCATTCTCAACGAGGTATTAGGGAGAGGAGCGGGCGGTAGATAGAGGAGGTGCCTTTGCAGCGTGTGCACATGTGGCCCCGTTCCTTGCGGAGATGCACTTTCATTCTTTGTACTGCTTTCAAATACGTCCTTCTCATAAAGGTAGAGGAATGGAGCGACTGAACCTGCAAAGAATATTTGTTTTTCACATATCCTGTTTTCTGCTGCGCTACACCCTCTTACTCCTATCTGCACCACGATGCCACTGACGTTACTGACCCCCACGAGTACGACCCCCCATGACCCACCCTGACAAGTACGACCCCCGCATCGAGGATTACAACCATTCCAAAAAGGGACCCCTCCGAACTCTTCATCCCACAGCTTCACTCGTTCTGGGAGGAATGCATCCATTCGTTCCCTAGCAAATGGATGCATATCAGTGATTATGATGGTGGTTATATTTTTGATCAATTATTCTCAGGGAAAATAAAATCTAAAGAAACCAACATGAAGAAATTCGGCCAGAACTTGTGGAACAACCCAATATAAGAAATCGAAAACGCGGATTTGAAAATAAATATTGAGAAACACGGAAGTGCCCCCCACACCCATGTGCACGCTTCATTACATGAGGTACATGTAATGGATACTAAGACATTGCACAAAAGCTGCCCATCTCATTCCATTCCAGAAGCCTCAACAATCCAGCGCTTTCCGAGAATTAACAGTTTCTTACTGAAGGAGTATGGATCGCTCACAACAACGCCACTGGAACTTTTAGGAATTACGAGCACTGCAACCCCATTAAAAACAGCAAAATTAATATTTTTGATATTTATTCACAAACTCAAAACGGTGACATTTCAATTGATAACACTGGCACTAATGATTGTGTACAATAAACCTTGGTACATAACATGTCACGTCAGCCATCGCGGCCTTGAATGGAACTGACGTGGGATCGAGACGATGATCTGATGTAATGGCTTACATTGAGGGATAACTTACTACACAACTGAAACTCTTTCAACCACATCAACAGAACGGATGGTATCGCCTCGACCAGGAAAAAAAATGGAAAGATTTGGACCAATATTAACCGAAACTGAGAGCAATGAAAACGATGACGCGACACCGATGACATCGCCAACATGGCGACATAGCAAAAACGAGAAAGCGAACTGTGGTCTGTCGTTGTCGTTCATCGTCCCCAAAAGAGTAACATGACCATCCTACATGGTTATAACGAGCAAAAAGCAATGCCAAACAATACCAGAAACAGAGAGCGTAATAAATGCGCTGCTTAATTTTTGTGTAATGGATCAGAATCAGCAATGTTGCAGAATCGTCTCAGCAGCACAGCATATACACGCAACAATTCTAGTACTACACATACACACAAAGACACTCGGAAGGTAACAGACATGAAAAGAAACCTGCATGAAGAAAGACACGATCGGGTCCGGGGTGATTGTTGGTTGATTGATTGACTGAATGTGATGATAATTTTCACTATGAGGGACGAGGGAGTAAACAAGAAGCTGGTCAAACTCCACTCACTCAACGGAATACACAGCGATAGGGAACAAGGTAAACGAGACGCACTAACATATAAAGAAGTCTTTCTAATAGATAACGAAGTTTCTACAAATATCTATACTAATCAAACACAGAAGGGCAGTACTTTGTGTAATGTTCGCTACACTATGATCCCGATGCTGGTAACAAAAAACAAACACTTCGAAGAATGATGGCTTAGCTAACTGTCAGAATGAGTGGTGCTGCTGATGATCGGTGGAGAAGGGGATTCAGGCAAGGGAGAACGGGAAGGGAACGGGGGAGGTGTTGAAGTGAGCGTAAAACAAAATGAGAAGAATGTAAAAACATAGATAAAGACGCCGTATTTCATAAGAACCATGTAGAAAGGAAAAATTGAAAAAAAAACTCTATTGTAATTCACATATACATATACGTGAAGAAATTGAACATGGAAAGAGAGTGGTAATGACGACAGTGACGACGATGATGATGATGATTTTGATAGAAACAAAAATGAAAGAATAGAAGAAGAAACAATTTTTTAAGCCTATTTTTGTTATCATGAATATTTTAAATTTTTTTGGCCGGTCAACAACATTTGGCTGTAAGTAGATGTGAAACGACTGCATTCCAAACAAGTCAGGTAATTTAAGCGCACATCACTTAAATCACATTGTTGTAAACAACAACAGCCACGATGTGACCGAATTTATAAGTTTTCATATAAAGAAAAACGCAACTAAATATAGAAAATTATCTAAACAAAGATGTGACGAAGGAAAAGAAAAAGAAGGGAAACGAAACAAATAACACATTAACATGGGAAGTCGAGCAAACGAGATAGTAGAGAACGAGAGGATCCCGGAATGATTGGTGACGACGGTACGCGACATTGATATCACAGAACTTACTGGGAGGCGTGTAAAGTGAGATCGTGTGGTAACATGGACAGACCAAGAACATAACATCCACTCATTGCTCAGCTGCCGTGGTGACTGGGATCTTGGGCGGTGACGTTGGAAGACAGGATGGTATGGAACCGTTTGGTCGTGATATCCGACGACTGCGAGCTTTTGTTTGCCGTTGTAGTGGCACACCGCTCACGTCAGCCACATCGGTCAACCTGAAACAAGGCTAAATCAGAAAATATTTATAAGAGTCAGCCCATAAGGGATCTAATCCACTCCAGTCTCACCTATGCACTCCCTTATTTATTGCACCCGTACCATGAGATAATCTAGATGGCGGATGTGGCTGCTTTTCGTGTGGTTCGCTACTTTATACTACTTGCACCTTCACCACGGTGTGCAGGCGAAATTCTGCCTCCAGATGAGAAGATCTGCATTGTCTGGCCCGACCGAGATAAAGAGGATTATTTTCAACGAGACGAAGAGATTTCGCCATAAGATATCTGGTACACTGAGAGAAACATGACTACAGAATGCGCTAAGACTTAATGTAGGATTTTACGACAAGGACGAAGGCCTACGAAGAGGGAATCACCTAGAGGAAAGACAGGGAAAGACGCGCACCACATCGGAAGATATGTCCTCGGCGATATCGCATGGCCTTCCCCATAGAGCTATTGGTGTGATACGCCTCCCTCTCCCAGTCTAGGCCTCTGAAGTGGGCAGCACTGATGAGAGTCGCATCAATGCGCAAATCAACGGGCAAGGAAGGGGTCCCATTTCTCGGGTTCTGGGCCGTTTCTCATGGTTTTTCTTCTTTCGTGCATTACTTACCACCTCTAACTTAAGTTCAATGAGCTACCTTTTCATCGTGAAATCTGCCCGACCGTTTCTGCATTGTGAGTTACAATGTTATGCAGATTCATAAACCTTTTCGATATAATTAGGAAATGTGGATATTTTGACATATGCCAAAAAAGAGAAGCTGTGTCAATTTCCACGGCTTTCTAGTGTATTAGTTGTGGTCAAAAAGTTTCCATCGCTTATGTGCAAAAAATGTAATAAACAATGGCAAGAAAATGTTTTGTTCTATTTCTCCTACGGAAAAAAAATCCAGGGCAGAAAGGGTTGAAGCAACAACCCCAGATATATTTGGCGTAGTAGCAGCGGTCGATGATGGAATCGTGGACATCGAGTAAACGAAAAAAAAGGAGTAAATTTAACCTTCGAGAAGCCCTTCAAAAGAACCTCCTCTTTTCCCTCTTAAATGAGGGAAGGACGTATTCGGACTACAAGTTTTCTAGAACTGCTTCCTCTTGAAATGAGTGACATGCGGGATGCATCTGGTCCTGTAGATCACATTAGCCGTCGTTAGCTCACTTTGTAAGGCCTTAGCACCATTGCTCCACCCGCGACAAGAGCAAAACTATCTTATTCGGGGGAGGGGGGGTACTCTATTCTATCCACAAATAGATTGTTCAAATCGACCTCATCGGGTTGTTGCTTCAGTGGAGTCACTCATGCAACATTCTTACACTCCTTCTTAACATGTTACGTCAGTCGTGATCACCACAGACAACGTAAGTTTCATGTAAGAAGGCTCAGGTTCGGAAGAGAAACAAACACAGAATTACATTCTATTGGCCAAGGGTAGGCCGGACGGAAACAAGGAAACGCAAGGAATGCGCCTTGGGGCGTCCACGTATCAGGTGATGCATTGAAAGAACCGGGTTGAAGCGTGAAATTTTGAAGCTTCGATCAATAGAATAGGACGGATTAGAAGAGAGAAATGTTATTGCCATAGGTCCAAAAGGCGAAAGATTCTAACGAAAGCAATCTGAGAACCAAATGAAATCGTTCCTGTCGCCAGCATTTGTGATAGATGTACAGCGGGAACATATTTGTTGTTCTTTTCCCGTACCGTAAATGATTGGTCTCAAGCCAGTGATTTATGGGAGATAGAATCATTTTTCCATGGACGATTCCTTTGAAGCAACACCTCTAGATCGGATTTGTGGGGCCATAGCCAGAGTCAACCCTGCGTTGCGCAGTTCGCAACGGCACGTTGAGAGATCCTCAACGCACGCTGTATGGGCGGAGACGCAGACGGCTCGAGCATGCGAGTGTGAATGTTCGCGCGAGAGAACGTGTCTAATCGGGCGAAACTGCGCAACGTGGCCGTTGAAAACTGCGCAACGCAGGGTTGACTCTGGTCATAGCGGTTGATAATGAGTTGTGGATGCCGAATTGACTAAAACTGAAAAAAAGAAAACCGCCGATTGAGCCCAAAACAGAATTTCCTCCTGAAAGAGGAGCTGCGGAGGCCAGACGAGTTGCATGGAACTTGCCTGCTCCATGGCTCAACTTACCCGTGCGTATTTAAAGTAGTCGCTACGTCGTAATACATGTCGCGTGCCATGGGGTGTGCATTACGTAACTAGTCCAAAAGCTAACTTGGTAAGATCTAAGCACCACTGCCGCACACCTTGGAGCCGTGAGAACGGCACAAATCCCGACCCGAAAAAGAAAGTGGGTTTCAACACTCAGGGTCTACATTGTTGATAGGCAGGTAGGAGAACTAAATTTCAATGTCACCTGTTGAAAAATTGGTGTGCTTTTGCAACTCACCGATCATGATCCTGGTCCTCGCCGTAATCGCTTGAGCTTGAACTACCACTACTACTTGCCGCACTATGCGCTGTGCTTATGCTGCTTCCGGAACTGCTTCCGCGCGGTGTGGACCGCCTTGAGTGACCACTCATCGGCGAATCACCAGCTGTAGAGCCGGCAGACATCTCACGTGTCGAACTGTACGACGAAACATAGACCATCGCGCTAAACAAATTAACGTCACGCACAGAAAAGCCAGGATTAGGATTCAATTTCACTCAATGCAAAAAAAAACTCACCCTCCCATAGGAGCGTTCACCGTGATCGGTTTGCAATTCAACAACCGTTGCAAATCTCGTGTGGTGTCCAACTCTTGATGCGCCTCTCGGAAAGCCGTCTTTATGGCATCAAACACCATTTCGTCATAAATAGAATGCGCTGTGTTCGAATAGGTGAACGGTTCCTGATACCATTGATGATGATTGATTTTTCTGTATCAGTCCCATCCTAGAGCCTAACTTTGCCAACCTCGATGCATATACATCGCCACTGTGACCGCCAGTTGGTGCCATTCTGTTGGTAGCCTCCATTTGGACGTTGCCGCGCAATCACTGCTCGGTCGATTCGCTTGCCGAGTCGCACAGAAATCGCGTCACGATCGTAACTGCGAAGAAGATAAGGAATTTATTATGCTCATTCGGCAAATAAGAATAAATCGGTCACGAATAGCAGAAAAGCATATAGTAATGTTGACTTACTCGAATTTATTCGCATAGTAGTCGAGAAAGCCAATGAGAAGTTCGCCAAGGGTCGACTTATCTGCATATTGCCATTCCGACGCCGTGGGTGGCTCCAAAGGTAAGGTTACATTCAATGTTCGCACATCGCATTTATTTGCGAATCGCCGAGGGAACATCTGTTGTAACGATGGAAGCACGCCTGGTTCCGTCCCACCTAAGGCTTTCACATTTAGTAAACACAGTCACGATCGAAAATAGGCTCAATCCTTACATTGAAGGTAATGAATAACCATCAGAACAAGGGAGTAACTTGTGAATGACGATCGATTCGCATCGTTGATGCCTTTACGCTTCGCCCATTCCTTTACTACAGACACTAACGGACGGACACGCCAATCAACTGAACAAAAGAAAACGGCAATAAACTTGAAGACCACAGCTGAGGAACATCATGATCTGTACCATCTACGCAATCAGTGAAATAACAACAACTTACAGGACGAATAATAGCACAGGAGGTGAGTATTCTTGATAGCCACTGAATTATTCGCATTTAAATCGACCGTGATATCTGAGAACGGTGGCGCAAACTTTATCCGAAGTATAGGGACCTTAAAACACATACTACGTGGAACAACTCGTGCACTGTCTACGAGACCGAAGTATGCTCATCTTCACACTAAGCTCTTTTACCTTGGCTAAGATCAACTTCTGGTGCGAAACCCATTCTGTGTGTTGCAACGTACTGAGAATCATATTCAGCACTACAACAGCGTCGGTTTTCTGATCAAGCTAAAATGACTTACATTAAAACACATGAATGCGGAAATGAATCAAAAGTGTACAATTCCTGAACTGAAACTTATGGAAACGACAAACCCTATATCAGAGAAGTTAGCCACTCAAAACCAATTAGAAATTGATGTAAAAAGGTAATAAGTTGACTATATGCATTTCGATGGAAGGCAATCGCTTTCTGTGTCTTTCGCAATTCCACTCGTTTCAGAACCGGTGAGCGGCTTTCAGCAGCGCGGAAAACCGCGGTGGAATGCGAGAACTTGTTCAGCTCTGATGAAAATGTCGAAAAGTTGAGCGATTGCGAAAGAGACGAGTTGCTATGATGCTCAAAAGATATGTAATTACAACATGATTCACTTGATGAGCAGGAGTTGAGCTCTTATGCAAGTCGAAGATTATTTATATTCAAATAGTGATTCTAAATAAATATCGCTAATACTCACATCCTTATTTGTGATCATCAAGCACAAGTCCATGTCAGATGTATTGTTGCCAAATCCATTCAACGATGATCCAACAACATACAAACCACACACTAAAAAACAAACAATTCGTCAATAATTTCATTTAGATACAAATCGAATGAAGCAGAGCCACGAAGCGAATTCCTCTCCAAGTGTGACGTGATAACTTCTCCTACAAAGCGCCCAGTTAGGACTTTACTAACGCCGAGCCCAGTTAACCTTCTAGATAACGACAAAGTATACGGAAGCGCAGCTTATTCTGATAAGGGAGCTGTCCGACCTTAGCATACAGTCAGGTCAATGAAAAAGTTCTTTGCAACGTTCCTGAGTGGAGTTAATAAAGAAATGAACCCCAGCAGAACAAATGAAAGACGAGAGCCACAAGAATAACAAATATATTTTTTTGAACGGGAAGGGCAGCTACACTGTAAATTGTGAATCAACCGAGCCCAAAGACACGACATATCACGACAACAAATGTTCTGAAGTCAAGAAATTGGGCATACGCTGGATTTCAACAAGACTCACTCGGAAAAACAGGACAGATCGAATAGTACAGCATGTCACGAAGATGCAACTTCCGATTGAGCATCTTTTCCGACTGGGTAACCGAATTATGATAGTGCCAGATCTCTTCACTTAGCTACAACAAGCAACTTCTTCCGAAAGATCGGCAGTGATGGAAAATATGCATAAAACTCAAGCATACTTGAAACTTCAATATTCAAATATACTAACCACATCCATTTCGGATATCTCAAACTGTACTCCGCGACTCAATTGACTTGTCGGAGGTGTGGGACAAGTGGGTGCTGTAATTGGAGTCTCGACAGTGGTGGTGGCAGCGGCAGCGGTAGTGGCGGTGGTCGCGGCAGCCGTTGCACTGGCTACCGACGCTTGAACACACGACGATAAACCGGAAGCTGCCGCTGCGGCAAACGACTGCGTTCCGGACGTCAAGTTATTCGAATCTGAACTTGTCGATAAAAATAACAGTAACATAAATGATTTGAGAGACCACTTCGATAATTTCTGATTTTTCCCATTAACCGCACCCCGATGTGGTTCGGAAAAAACTTAACTATAAACACTACTACCTTATGAATGAAAGGATGAAATTAGCTCTAAATTCGAAATGCAAAAAGAGCAGATACTGAAACACAGGCGGTGATTCTTGATAGCGCCGGTTGCTAAACGAAAGTGTTCGACACTCATGACTAAAGGGCAAAAACAATGCAACCGATGACTTACTAGGAGAGTGAGTCATGTAACCTTTGCAAAAGTCGCCAGTTTCCGTTCTTACAATTTACCAATAAGAGCCTCACTAATCTTCATACACGAAACTTCTACGAGCCCCTTACTGAGAAGCAACATGAAGAACGGAAGCCAAAAACCTTATAAGCAGGTAAAGAATGACCCAACCACTTAATAAAGTAGGCAACATTGGACGCTAGGAAACAGTGAGCAACAGCTCCAGTAAAACCGCGGATAGCATTTAAAGTAGATGATCATACTTCACACCTAACTAATAAAAATGAAAAAATCCTAACAATCAAGAAAAAAGAACATTTCTGCAAAGAAAAAAAGGAAGGTGTTAACACTCACTTAATAAAGAACTCAGTGGTTTTCCAGCTGCTTTGGAACCACTCGCCACAACCGTCGACGAGCTATTCGGAACTAGAAGAGGAATTTACATAACCATCAATCCTACGTGCGATCGTGAACCGTATTGAAAATATAAAGCCACAAAATCGAAAACATAAAAGGACAATAAAAGATAGAAGGCAGCCGTTCACCCTGCAGTGCTAAGAGGTCTCTGACTACAAATACCAGATACCGTTAAGGTGTAAAACAGGTTTCGCAGAGAATTAAAAAGATTTCCACTGTATCTCTCACAAGCACCTAAAAAGCTCAAGCAATTTAACATTCAGAATCCACTTATGAAAAAAAAAGAAGGCTTGAATGCTATCTAGCTGACTGTAGTAATATGTGAACCTAATGATGACGCGTCACAAAGCTTGTCGGGTAGACGATGAGTGTCGCGAGAACTAGCTAGTCACATGTGCTTGAGAATAGCGATGGGCGATGGGCGATGCGCGACTGATCAATGATCAAAATTAGAGGTGGCGCAATATGACGAAATTCCTCGCCTCGATTCTATTGAAAGGTGATCCATAATTATCTACAAGTTCACGGATATCAACGGGTAAGAGCGTCCGATACCGCATTTCATACCACATCACCAGCAGAGGTGCGCTAAATCCTCAACAGCGCACAAATCACAGTCGCAACTGCGAACAAAAATAGCCTCGTGTTGGAAACAACAACAGCTTCGCCTGTGCTATTCATAGATCACCCGATCGGTGATCGAGCAACGCGAAAAGAAGGATAAACACTTTTCTAACGATAGTTGTTTCTAAAAATAAACACATAGTGATCGAACAGGGAAAATGATCTCCTCTCGGCAAGCTTTCAGTGACCCAAGCTCTCCACTGCTAGTAGCAGTGGGGAAATTTGGACAGTGGGCGAAGAAAGTCAAATACCGTACACGGGAACAAAAGGTGCAAGGCAGCTCCAATCCCGCAGTTCAATACAGCTTTTACTTCGAATAACGGAGTAACTTTAGGTACGAAGCACCCTTTACTGCAGAATTTACATTCATACAAACATCGCAAGCGGATGTTCAGTGATGTTATTATTCCGAATCATGATGGAAATATATGTAGGCTGATACGTTTACAATGCGAAAACACCTTGCACAAACGAGGACTTTCGAAAAACGAACTTGCACCGGTACTACCCTAATGACAACTCCTGCGGTCACCAAATGAAACACAGCAACTAGATCATCGAAAAACGAACTTGCACCGGTACTACCCTAATGACAACTCCTGCGGTCACCAAATGAAACACAGCAACTAGATCAACAAAACGCAAATCGCATGCAAATTTGTTCGTTCGACACCACAACCACTCTGCATTCTAACACACGTCATCATATCGTCGCCACTTAGTTCAAGGCCAGTAGCCTTTGTCACACCGTATGTCAAAGAGCATGGGTCTGCAGAACCGTAATTTGCTCTACCTAATTTAACACAATATCAGTTCTCAAGAAACGTCTGTCTTAAAAGGATAAAGGATAAAGGATAAAGCATTTGCCGTTGATCAATCCCTTTTTGGGATGCGGCACGCATTCTACTTCCATTTGTACATTCGTAGTGGCGTTTGAATGCGCCTATACAATGACTTGCGGGGGCCAGCCGATGTACAAGTCAGTGTTTTTTATCCTCCCAGACAAGTCTGGTACCAATTAACCCTTTGGCGACAATGGCACCCACCGGTGGGTGCCACTATGACCGTCGCGTGGGACAATGGCACCCAATGGTGGGTGCCACCCTAAAATTTTCTTCTTTACCCATTTAAAACATTTTCAACATATCAGTAATTATAAGCAAGCTCCGTTACGCCTATGTTTAGCATATTTTGCAGAAATGTTTGTTACTAGCTAATTTATATGAAATTTTAGGATATGGCACTTCGCTCGGCGATGTATTAACTAGTGTTTTACATTATTAAGCTTAAGGTGAATTACAGATCAGGACCTCGTCTTTTCACAGTCTTAAGACACAAGGAGGAGTTTGAACTATATCAAAAATTCTACTGTACATTTGAACTTCTAAGTTTTCAAACACCATCCCTTTGAAATCCGAGATTTCTTTCCAAACTTCCACTTCTAATTCCAACAATACATGATCATAAAGCTTAAGACTGCAGTCATATTTTGTTTATTGTCATAGTCAAAATTTTGATAGAAAAACTGCTTTTAGGGACAATTTTGCCCCATTTTGTGCGAGAGTTGGGCGCGCCAAAAAGAGGCGTGGTCCCACGAGCACGCTACGTGCAAATCCGCATTGTCGTCAAAGGGTTAACCGACCCCGGAGGGATGGAAGGCTTGGTTGGCCCGGGCGACTCACGACCCAGGATTTGATCCCCGGACCGCTCGCGTGGTAAGCGTGCCACTTGCCACTACACCACTTCAACCTTCGTCCGTCTTACAGTGCAGAAAAATGACATTTTTGAAACAAGTTTCAAGAAAAACCATTCCAGTTCAATAATAGTTCATTATGTTCAGTAGGAATTCAGCTAACTTTCTGCATTCTCGGTAACTGTGATGACCTCGCCACTCAGCCTGCAGCGCTCGTGCAGAGCCGAAACATATGTAAGAACTACAAAACTGCGTTTTAATTGGATAGTGCCAGGCGTCATGACGAAATCTAAATCACCTAAGGTACCAGCCAACAAAATGAGATGAGATTCTGCGACTGAGCTCATCAAACTAACCTACGTGTCAAGAAGATACCCGTAAAAACTGTTGAAGGAAGGCAGTTTGAGATAGTTACAAAGTTATTGAGCTACACAAAAACACAACAGGTCATTGCGATCTCCATCACATTACGAGACGAATGTGCGGAGAGCACTAAAAAACTATGCGCGGAAGAATTCGCACACTCTGGAGCCTTCAGTGAAAACTGCACCATCGACTGGGTCTATCGATTCACTGCAACCAATGTATTCCATATAACATACCAACACCTGTTCAGATTTCCTTGCGGTAAACCAACCACTGACCGTACGGTTCCATACCTCAAATATGTGAGAGGGTCCGGCGAAATCATAAAATATTGACGTATAAATGCCAAATTTGGCCAATGCTCGACAAAGAGCTGCGCACTGCTTACTTTCGCGAGAAGCAAAAATAATCGAATGTCTTTTGCTATTCTGAGGTCTGACAAAAACACTGAATTAATCAGAGTAGAATAATCACGCACTAAGTCAGGCGAATAGATCAATCCTGGAGAGAATCAAATAGGGTTTCCTTCTGCAACCCAACAATACCAGTTCTAAAGACACCAGCATAGATCAAGAGGTATCCAATGTAATAGCGAAAATCGAATTCCACAAATTTTGCATACACACGTGGCACTGATGGTGACCCTCTGATGACAGCACCTACAGCATGCAAAAAAAAGCCGATGACCAGGATGCTCCAACCAATAATAACAGGTCACGTAGGCGCTGCAGGATTGTGACCCGAAGTTTCCTTAGAGGTAGGACCTAAGACTCACAAAGTGTTTTAAAAGAAATGTGCACAGTAAGATACTTTGAGAAATCGAGATTCACCTTATTCATGCAAACTAGGGACTGTAAAACAGCGACTGTCGCAAACCGAATGTGAACACCAATTAAGAAAGATAGCGTAAGCGATGCGTTTCTCTGCAAACGGACAGAAACAAACATCATGTCTCATAGTTTACAACGTACAGATGGCGACCATACTTTTTTGAGGGAAAACGCAAAAGGAATGCCGCTGGAGAAGTTATTACCAAAAACGAGATTAGCATTTAGAAACTGGTTGTCCTGGTGAATCTCAAGTACCTGCATGTTTCACTGAAGAGAAGCAAACCGAAAAGAAGCATCCAAAGGAAAAACATTTGAAAAAAGTAGCACTGCAAAGGTATAAAAGTACTACTTCAATCTTGTCTACTGAAGATTAATTAGGGGATGAATCATCAGAATTATAAATTACTTTGAGAAAACTTACAAAAGCAATGTGTCTACGGAATCCAAATTGTCTTAGGAGTTGCACAGAGAAATTAAGCGATAGCTATGACATAACATGGTCGCGAAAGAGACTAAGTCTTGAACTAATATTGACAGAAGCATGGCGGCAGCAATGTTCACACGGTAGACGAGGCAGAGTGGAAAAGAGAAAACACTAACTGGGTCATGATGCCCAACGTCTGCGATTGAGCTAAATGTGTTGGCAGCCGTTGAGTCGATACCGCTGCACTTTACAGCGATGCCTCGAAGGTTCTTGCAATATAGCACGATTGGCTGCCCACCTCTGGACAGATAAATACATACACAAACATGTTTGTGTTATCTGTGACCGCTCCAGAAGACATGCCACATTCCATCAGTTTGCCGCCATCAAAACAATG